GGAGCATTCCCGTTTTTAGAACGAGGAACATACACTATCCTTAGCATGTTTGTCTCACACTTATCATTAGTATGTAATTATGGATGCAGTTCACCATTGTACGACTCATTAAACCCTTTGTTTTGCGACGTTTTCGCTGCGCATCGTTGTGGTTTGTATAAGGTCCATGCTGTTGTGGTCTGTAAAAAGTCACGATGTCGACATATCAGTGTTCTGTTTACTTCTATATTTGCGATTTAAACCTCGAAGTCATTGAAAAATTCCAAGCTAACTAAACTGTGCGGCTTGTCGTTTTCCACACTGGAAAAGTCTGTACCATTCGCCCACGGAAATTTCCGGAAATTCCCACCGGCATTTTTGGTCGAATTGAAAGCGCCCATTTTTTCACGACCCGTACGACTCGTCGACTTGTATATACACTCCAAGTCTCTCTAATGATATGCAATTCACCAACTGTAAGACTCGTAAAGCATTGTTTCACGACCCGTACGAGTCGTACGACTCGTACGGGTCGTGTACTTGTATATACACTCCAAGTTTCTCTAATGATATACAGGTCACCAACTGTACGACTCGTAAACCATTGTTTCACGACCAGTTCACCAACTGTACGACTCGTACGAGTCGTGCGAAAAGGAAAATGCCATTATACGGGTCGTATCAGTTCGTGTATATTGGACAACTCTCAACCCCATGAAATTGAGCAATACAAAAAAACTTTTTTTTTTCGCAAACTTTAAACAAAAACAAAAATAGCGCAAACACAATTTCCACCAAAAACGTATACTCTGTTAAAATGTCTTTTCACCCCCACCGCAGAGAGCAAGCTTAAGACGTGGTTCAGTCAGGAAAACATTCATTGAGTTTATGAACTACCATTCAAAATAAAGAATGGCATAAAAATAACAATGTTTCAATACAAGATTCTCACAACATTCTTATATTCCAACTAATGTTAGTCTCTTTAGAGTCAAAATACGTGATCATAATGTAAGCCCTCGATGTTTGACTGACAGGCTCCATCGATCACGTGTTTACACTGTTTTCTAATGTCATCCTTTTGGAGCGTATTTCAAAACTAGCGGGTTAGTAAAACTAAGGAAGCCGTCACTTTATCAAATAGCGTGGCTGATACCGAATCCTGTGACTATTGAACACATATAGTCTGAATAATACGCAAATTATTGCAAAATAACTGCTTGCATGAAAACAAGTCTATTTT